ATGTTGTCCTAGCAACGATTATTCATTCACTGCTACCAATGCTCACACCTTGTCCTTGAAGGTAAAACAAAGCAATCCTCTGATAGGTAGAACGGTTTTACCATCAGATTTGTAATACTAATAATGCAATACATTTTATTCGCAATGCAGAGCCCGTAGCAACGGTTTCAAAAGTGGGGGAGGGGGAGGGGGGCAACTTCATCAGACAAGCAAAAAAACCTAAACTGACCAAAGGGGTGGGGGGAGGCAAATTCCCAAAATTTTCTGACACGGAAAACTTATTTACTGTCCAAATCCCAGAATTTGCCAGTGCTCGACCTTACACAACAAAAAGTGTGTGTTGGGGGGGGGGGGGTCATCTGAAAGAAAATATTCTACAGAAAATACTATACTCAGAAAAAAGTGGGGGCGGGCCTCCTGCCCCCCCCCCCCGCGTTTTACGGGCCTGCAATAACAGTGTCGGCCGATCCACCTAGTATGTCTAAATCTGACGTGGTAAGCCACCCACCCAGTTACCCCCTCATACAGAAGTTCCCTTCCTCTTTCCTCGTTTTCTGTAAGACCATATACACTGTATCTTAGCCGCGATCGTCTATACGCCCTATAGTCTAGATTTCCATGAACCGGCATGTGCATGTTATAAGGGCAGATGAAGGAAGTATTTTTATTACTAAAGTCAAAAGTCCATGTAAGTATGGTAAGTAATAATGTTTTTAAAAGTGTTTAGAATTTTTAGTTGTCTAAGTTTAGTAAATTGATATTTTTGTTGCTATACATTGTACATACATCCATCATTTTGTTTGGCAAATAGGAAGAATGCAAAAATGACATAAAACAACTGGAATGTCAAGCAGATCTTGTTAAATTTAGTTACTGTACCGAATTGAAAACTTCATAAGGTAGTATCTTTACCTGGTGAATGTCCTTGAATAGCTAATGGTTATTGAAGGTTTTTGCCAATGATGATGGAAGAGGAATATATATATATATATGTGGACTGATGCGATAAAATTAAGACTATGTAGTCTATGCTTATAAAATTTTTAATGAACATAAAACAACAAAAGTTAAAGAAATATTGAAAATTTAAGCTTGATACCTTGAATATTTACCAAATCATCATAAAATAAAAAAGACTTATATGATCACCCGGCGCTGTCGCCATTTAGTTTCATGACGTCATTGTTTTTCAATGTCCGCATTCTCTACCTCATACACTTATCTTGATGAGCTTCCTTGGAGTTAAATAAAGGTTTAAACCCGTCTTGTTTATATGATTTTACAATGTCATAAACAACTAATTTCAATGCATATAATATTGTAAATAGATCTAAAAGATCCTCACTTGATTATAACAGCATATTTGCTTGTCGGAGTTTAACATCTATCACACATGATCAACATCACTTTTCGACGTGACAAACTTTGAACACTCTTACTAAAACTCGACGTTAACTTTTACATCTCTCGTCTCTTATCTTTTTCTTCGTTTAAAAACAAGTACTCTAAATGCATTTTATTTTTCAGTAGCCCATTTAAGTATTTCCTAGGTCTATGCCAGTTTTTCCAGAGAGTGAAACTTTATAGAATGTTGGAAAAAGGAACCCACCCCCCTTTCTGACGTCATTACAACCCCATAATTGTTCGGACATTTCATATAAAATTTACGATAAAATTTCATAGAACTTACAGAATGGGGTAAAAATTGTAAATTTTACGGTACAATTGTGTCATACCACATGAGTGAATTAACGGGATTTTTGAATGACAAATGCTCATATCAAAAAAAGTTTTTTTCTCAGTTACACTTAGGTAGAAAAAACGTAATTTCGAGGTTGCGCCGCCTGGACATACCATTGCTTTCAAAAACATCAACAATTTATTAAAAAATAAAACTAATGATGTATAATTTATTATATAAATCAAAAAGATTATGCTAATTAAACATTAAAAAATTCACCGGTGTATCTTAAGCAGTTTTAATTTTATGGCGCTAGTCCACGAACTTTCCGAACAACCCTCGTATATATATATATATATATATATATATATATATATATATATATATATATATATATATATATATATATATATATATATATATATATATATATATATATATATATATATATATATATATATAGCTCACCTGAGGTAAATTGAAAATATAGCGATGATCTGTTGTTCTCATTAAATCTTTCAAATGTATTTTATGATGAATTTACAATTTTAATTGACATAAATATATGCATGTATTGGAAAGCACATTTGAAAACACACATATCAAAAACAGATGGTTTGACGATTTAATATGAAATGATCATTCTTAAAAGGTTTTCTTTCAAGCCATTATAAGAGGGGCTTGACTCATCTTAATCAATCATAGGTCATTTAAATCAATCATAGGTCATCTAAATCAGTCATAGGTCATCTAAGTCAATCAAAGGTCATCTAATTCAATCATATGTCATCTAAATCAATCAAAGATCATAAAAATCAATCATAGGTCATCTAAATCAATCATAGGTCATTAAAATCAATCATAAGTCATCTAAATCAATCTTAGGTCATCGATAGCCTTGTGCACGAAACAAGTGAAATTTTAGAAAGCAAATTCAGGATTTTGTATCGTAAATAACATTTGAATTAATTATTTTTGTGAATAACAAGCAAATAGTTTTGTATCAAATCCATATTGATAAGGTTATATGTATGAATATCCCGTAAATATATACAATGTGGTAATATTCCACAATCACCTGCAAATGTCGCCTATGTTTCCTAACTGATTCGATACTCGGGAGCAAGTTTTGAATATGACAATTATTAAACAGAAGCAAACAACTAATACACAAGTTGATTTTACAGTGATGTTTTCAACTACCGTTATCTTGTTTAAAGTCAACATTTGCAAATTCTATGGACTACCTTTTTACCTATCGTTTGGTCGTATATTGAAGTAAACAATTTCGTCGACATGTTCATGTAGTTGTTTTTGTACCATTTTGACTACAGGTTATTTTGTTTACCTGATCAATACAGAGGGCTCACGGCGTGTGTGATCAGTAAACAGAGGTTGTTTACTCTTCCTCGGCTTCGGATCCTCACGCTGGTGTTTCCAGATTTCGTGATTTGCCCTCTTCAGGATACTTATTCGTCACGGGATTTATAAGTTCGGAAACTGAAAGTTATTTTCACCTTTTTCATTAATTAAGAAATAAGACATGCCAAATCGATGGTCTTTCTCCAGAGAAGACCAATGATCACTGTTAGAATTTTTTCTTTCATACTATTTAGTATTTAACTAAATATTTCTGTTGAAAATAGTATAAACTTGTTGTTTTTTTTAAAGAATCTATGAATTTGTCATTTGAAACCCACTAGATTTCACAAGGTCAATTCATTGACATATCGACTTCACAGAAAAGCATACCGACCTCGCACTTCTTGCTCTTTGTGATTGTAAAATTTTGGACGTACAATATGTTATAAATATATACGTTATATCCATAAAGAATGGAGAAAAAGAAATTCAGTACTTGATGGAACAATCTGAAGAAAAAAACCCATTTCAAATGAATTACGTATTGCCTGATTTAGAAAAAACGCTGGCTATATGCCACAAAACTCTCGTTATGTCATTCCTTATTTTTGTGAAATAATTTTTTTTGAGTTAAGAAGGAGTACAAGTAGGATATCAAACAATCTTTCAAGTGTGGGCATTCGAGTGTTTGAGCCGTTGATAAATATGTAACAGCAACACACTTGTATAAAAGTAGATGAAGTATTTTCATCGTCAAATTTTCCCAGTCAATAGTATATAAGGTTATTGTAAGTAATAAAATATGCAAACGTCTCGGGGTCTACGATCAAATTTAAACAAAAACAAAGCAGCAACTGTGTTGGTACAATAGTTTGAAAATTTGAAGCCACACATTATACATTATTTTATAAATGTCATTTGGATTGATAAAAAGGGGAAAAAAACGATATCATAAAAACAAATCCTTGTCATCTTTATTTCTTTTAATTGAATTAACAAAATTAAATATGTTAAAGATTTGTTATTATGATATATCTTAATTTAATTAGTGAGTATTATTGAAAATTTCATGATTTGATATTCTTAACTGATGTACGTGACGAAATCCTTACCTGATATCCTTAATGTACAACTGTCAAGGGTGATTGATATTGTTTTTAAATTATGATGGTGAAGAGAGAGTTTGAATCATGATATTTATATCATATCATTTATATCATATCTATTTATATGGTCGATACAATAACCTTGTCAGCAAATACAATCTTTTTTCATACTAAATGTTAAGCCATTATTTACACACTGAATTATTGACGGATTTTCCCGTTATTTCCCACAGCGCAAGGCAGGTGTGACCGGTTAGCAAGGGATGCTCACTCCTCCATTGCACCTGATTCCACCTCTGATGTTTTTTGAGGTCCGTGTTTGCTCTTCTCCCGATTTGTATTGTTTTAATGGACTTTGAACTTGAATGTTGTTCGTTATCCCCATACTTCATCCATATTAGATACTTTATAAGTCAGCAGACGACAATCCTCATTCTGTCTTTTCACTTAAAAGACAAATGTGAACATGAACAATTTTAAAATATTTTGTTTTCTAGAATGAAAATGTCTAGAATAGAACAGATGTGTTTAACTATTCAGATACAAAGAGAATTGCTGCAGTTGTTATTAGGTACACCACCCAAAAGCTTCGCTTAGAAATACATTTGGAAGAACGCTTGAAAACATATGTGTTAAAGCTATATCATTTGACGATTAATATACATGTATCATTCCTATAAGCTTAATTTCATTGAAACTCGTATAAGTGGTGCTTGAGACATAAAAAATACCAAATGTTAGTTCATCGATTGCCTTGGTTTATTTCAATTAATATAAATGAATATTAAAAATAAACTTGGATTTTTTACTTCCATGACAAAAGAATACACTGTGATGAACTGCAGTTGCTTTGATTGGTATACATGTATGAATATTCCGAAGTGTATGTGTATTTGAGACATCCCTCGTCTTTCTTCGGTAAAGGGGAGTGATCAGAGTAAGGTTGTACAGGTAATTTTTTTGATCATCAAATTTTATAGCCTCAAATATTTTATCAAATATTTCTGATATATATCTAAAAGTAGTCAAATATTTTTTTTTCACTCTACAGTCATTAGAGACATAAATGAATTTCATATATAATATTTTTTGTACAACTTTTAATGTTACACTTTGGTTGTATGAAATATGGGGGTGGAATATTTCATTTAAAAAAAAAAGATAATTGAATTGTAACTTTTTTAGTACAAGTGATTTTTTCCTGCTGTGAATACTGAGTACTACTGAGTACATGGTTTAGATCACTATGTAAATAGCTTGTGTTGTACTGTAGTGTGCAGACAAGGAAGCAGCCATTTTTGTAGATAAATATGTACACAGGAAAAGATGTGTTCACGTCTAAAAATTGTGAAATTGAGTCCCTTTACAGCCAAATAAATCAGCAGTTTGCCGCGTGATTTTTAATCATTTATTTTCTGTACCTTCTCAAGCATAAATTAATTTAAATGTACTCAATCTTACGTTATTCTAGATACATATAAAATCATGGATGTCAATTTCACTCGGATAGTTTAGTCGAGTAGTAAGTAAATGATTTATTATAGTGACATGTGTAATGTACAATCACAACAGTAGATATACATGGGAATTTAAGGAGTTTCGATCCTGGGCTTTTGAGCAGATTTTTGTCTGGATGTTTATTTCTAAAATTTGCATCATTTTTAAGTTCTTACTTTACATTTTCATTCTACAAAGCAAATTAAACTTATTCAATTAAAAACCCACAATTAAATTCCATTCAAAAAGCATTAAGTGCGGAACTATATTTTGTGGCAGAAGTTTTTTTTTAAAGAAAATGATCAATTTTTCTCTTTCGAAGTATTGCAGTACTGTTCAGTTTAGATTCCTATTTTTCCATGCAGGCTACACAGTTATTTTGAGCAGTGAAATGTTTTATGTTAGTCCTGAAATATTTAGTAAATTAACTTTTATTAATTCTATTATCAAATTTTGACAAATATAGCAAATATATTCTGAAAGTCCAGGAAAAAAGAGCCCAATTTAACTTAAAATTAACACTTTTTAGTAATATCTAAAACTTATCATAAACACCACTTTTGATTGTCTTTTCTGAATATATATGATAACTTTGATCATTTTGCCTAAATTAAACAAAAGTTTAAGACTTGAAGATAATTTTGTTGCTTGTTAAATTTTTTATGCCAGGAATATGACATGTTGTGAGTGCAGAGAGGCCAAATAATTGATTATGCGAAGTGATTTGAAGCTTTTTCTTTTTCACAATTTTAATTTTTTTTAAAGATAGAATAAGAGTATATGTGGGGGGGGGGGGGGTTATTTGGATAAAAAATATTGGAGGAAAGCTTCGAAGACGTGATTTTATGTTTTAGGCACAATTTCAGTGCAAAAAGGTTATATTAAATCTACCGAAGGGATAAAAGAAGCATATTAACCCCCATGTTTTGTTTGGATTTTTAATTAAGCTATGTGTGTACATACTAAAAATATACTTGACAAAAAATTCTTAAGACTTTTGAAATCAGGATCCAACCTCTTTATGCACCCTGGCCAAACGGGCCTATATTTCACTTTTAACAATATAGCATTCAATAAAAATACAGTGGTATTAAGTGTTGAGTTTACTATATATAATACACTGCCTGTTAATACATGCTGAGTACAAGAATTTTGCGGTTTGTCTGGGTGAGTTTATTTTAAGAAATTTGGGGCTTTAGTCGAAAACTCGTTAATATAATTTTTCTCACTAAAATAATATTAAAATCAAGCTAACGCCGGATAAAACGAATTTTTCATTACAGGTATTAATATCTTTTACAGCGTATTTTATCAAAACACACTTTCTAAAATACTTTGTTTATCCAGATTCTAATACATGTAGTTGGTCATTTGAAGGTGTCTCGTTTGCATTTAATTACTTACCCGTGACGAGTTAACAGCTAAAGTGTTATAGTTATCAAAATATAGAAAGGCTTGCGATTAATCTTAATTATGCAATTTTAAACCAAAAAAACCTAATTAAATCGATTTATGAAATTAATTGATTTTAAACATCAAAAGAAATATCAAAGTGCGGACACATCTTTCTCCCCAATTCCATGAAGACAACGAACTGTGATCATTCTTAAAAGTCCATATAAACAATACAATTTATGAGCAGAGTCAACACGGATCTCTAAAAACAAATATGGGATCAGGGGCCATGGAGAAGAAAGAATCCCCTGCCGACCGGTCACACCCGCCTTGTCCGTAGATAATTCATTTGTATCATCAACTTATCTGTCATTAACTTACCTCATTTTAGTATGTAATTATTCTTGTTTTAAAAACATTAAAAAAATGATCCTATCAGAGTTCGGTCTAATCTTTTACACCACTAGACCAACTGAAGAAAAATTCTATCAATTTTTTACTTTGAATTTAGAATTACTATTAAAAAGCACTTAAGTAATCAAGTAAAAATTATTTGGTCAATAATCAGTATCACCAAGCGATTGTGAAGCAGTCGAATACTGGTCTTTTCAGAAAGAAAATTTCAATTTTTTCAAATTTTTTCCAAGTATTCTTCTCTTCAGATCAGGCCATCCATGTATCATCTCTAAAATAAACACATTGTCTGTTTAACCTGTTTCAACAGTATTCAAAAGTTTGAATCGTGAAGATATATTTTCTGAATTTTTTACTGAATTTTGTTGACTGTTTAAATTGTACTGAAAATGAGGGTACAATCGACGACGGATGTGTATTTCATTCGCTTTGATAATTTATAATGTTTTAAGCTGATAACCCCAAAAAAAGAAAAGATTTTTATGATTTTTACATGAAGTCGCTGTATTCAAAGTAAAATCTTAATTAATTTTAATTAATAATTTCAAAAAAGCTCTCTATATAGGCAAAAGCAACTAAAATCTCAAAACGGTTTGGTCATTTCAAAACTTCTGTATAAATCAATGATTACGCTACATCTTTGAAATTCTGATGTTTTTCCACTTAAATTACTGTTTACCTTTCTTTGAAAACAACATCGACATTTGATACTCTAAAAAATTGAAATTATATCATTTTGAGTGGTTAATGAATTGTTCATTTCGACTCGATACCGGTATATCCCAGTGAGTTTGAAATAAAAGATACCATAGAGTCTGACACATCTGTTTCATATTTGGATATTTTACTAGAACGTTAATGGTAATCTAACAACAAATCTTTATGATAAACGTGATGACTTCAACTTTTCAATCGTCAACTTCCCTTACTTATGTAGCAATATACCGTTATCAAATGCATATGGGGTTTATGTCTCTCAGTTGATTCAATATATAGTAAGAGCATGCTTTACGTGTGAACAATTTGTAAAACGGGGTAAGCTATTGACAAACAAGTTGATGAAACAAGAAAATAAACAGTCTCGTTTAAAGTCATCATTTTGCAAGTTTTATTGTCGATACAATGACCTTGTCAGCAAATACAATCTATTATTAAGACAAATGCTGAATGATGTTTTTCATACTAATTGTTGGGCCCTTATTTACACAGTGAATTGTCTACGGATTTTTCCGTTTTCCCCATCATGACGAGGAGCACACGGCGGGTATGACCGGTCGGAAGGGGATGCTCACTCCTCCATGGCACCTGATTCCACCTCTGATGTTTCAGAGGTCATTGTTTCCTTTGCTCCTGATTTGTGTTGTTTTAATGGACTTATGAGCTTTAATACTGTTCGTTATCTCCTTTTTGCATTCTATTTATTATAAACAAACTTTTTAATTGTTATTATCATTTCAACTTGCGGGAAAAGCTACTAAAATCAAATCGCTTTTTTATGTTACTCTCTTTTAATATGTGCACCTTTTTTAAAACAATTTACATCATTTTGACTTAATTTCAGTTGTTGGTGTTCCTCTTGACAGATAGAGAGAAGAGATTAATTTAAAAAATGAACATATCCTTTATCGTCCTTTTTCTTTTCTTTGTAAATAAAGGTAGGTAAAGTTTAAAATATTGTGATATATTTAATATGTTTTTTCAGGAAAGATTTTTTAAAAAGTTTTTAAGTATTAAATACATATTATTTCTTCATAATTTAGCTTTGTCCAATAACTAAGCTTATTTTAAGGATTAAGTACAAGTTCAAAACTTAGCTTTGGCCAATATCTAAGCTTACCCTTATTGTTCTTATACTAGTTACTTCAGAGAAATCAAAATATAATTTGACATGGTTAGCTGCTCAAAACTATTGTCGAACACGTGGAATGGTTTCAAGATTTGGGAAAAGTTCACTTGCTGAACAGTCCTCAGAAAGATACTGGACACGTCGTTATACAAAGAGAAGTGACTGGATTCATATTCTTGGTTTGTTTGCTATTTTTAAATGAATTTCTGTTTGGTAACTCCTCATAGAAACAACTTTGAAGTCTCTGAAATCTTACTGATCAAGTATTACACGAGCAATTATTACGTTTATAAAGCAAATTATGAAGCATAAAATGTTGAATTATGAACTGTGTATCGAAAGATAATAACTAGACATTCTGTAAGCTAATAGTTTCTATTTTTTTTTTAAATCTAGGTTTTTTACTTGCGTATATCTTGACTTTACTACTTTGTATCCATACTCAGTCATATACACCTGTTCAATTTCTAGGATGTTACGATCAAGACACAGTTCTTCATTATGTTAAGTCAAATTTAACAATTCTAGATACAACAATTGTTAAATGTCATGGTTTCTGCTTGAAGGATTGGGAGATATTTGGAATACAGGCATGTTTACATCTTTTTTGTAATTGTCTAATTAACCAAACAAACATAAACATAATTAGGCTTCTGTCTTTGTATCAAATATTATTTGTTTAGGGGAACAGTTGCTTCTGTTTGTCTAAACTGGATGCCAAAATTCAACGGTTACACAAAAATAAGTGTAACTGGCCTGGCGATAAATTTAGAGGTGACAGTAACTCCCTTGCTATTTTCCGGACTACTGGTAAAGAGCCTATTTTGTTATAAATTACCTTCCATTGAAATACATTCATCAAATGACTTTTTATGCTCCTTAATCAAAGTTTCAGGGGCATATAGTTTTGGGTTTGTCCGTCTGTCTGTCTGTTAATCTGTTTCTCCCCAAAAACATGTCCATAACTTTTGAATTATTGATACCAGAGCTTTCATATTTTACATGTATATTTCTTGTGACAAGACCTGTCTTTGGGTACCAATATATTTGATCTCTTGATCTTGGCTTTGGAGTTTGACCTACCTATGCAAAAATTTACCGAACTTTAACCTTGGCCATAACTTTGAACGGTTGCTGCTATGGCTTTCATATTTCACTTATGTATTCCTTGTGACAAGACCTTTCCTTTGGTGCTATTATCTTTTTTTACCTCATGACACTGACCTTGGAAGATGGCCTACTCTTGGGAAACTTTAAACTTGGCCATATTTCCTTCATTCCTTTTGACAAGGCCTTTTTATGGTATCAACATTTGTAAACTCTTGTCCTTGACTTTGTAGTTTGACCTACATTTGAATAGCTTGAACCTTGATCTTAAGCTGCCATACGAAAGCATTAGTGTTTCACAAACGTATCTTGTTATTTATTGAAATCAAATTTTAACCTTAACATACCAATTCTTTGATACAATTTACAGACTTCAACGCTATTCAGCCTCGTAAAAGTAAGTTGTGTTTTTTTTTTTAATTTCAAGTTTGAACGTTTACTTTGTTGTCTATCCTTCTGTGTACCGCTGGTGGCAAACTATAATATGGTTATTCTTACTGAATAAAGTATTACAATATTCAAACAGATGATGCAACAAATCATGAAAATCTGTGTGTGCAAATTATTTGTGACAACCAAGAGAAATTTACAATGACTGGGTGCAAGTCTTTTGGGAATGCATTATGTTCAAAAACAGGTAATATGAAGAAATAACTGACACGTTGAGCGATCATATTATAGGCTTACTTCTCAATGGGAATCATTCAATTTAATAGAAACACGATAGACTTTACTAAAGGTTATGAAATCACAAAACAGACTATGAAAATTTCTTTTCTGTTAATATTTATCAAAATCCAGCAAAAAGGGTCAAAATGAAAATCAAACTATTTGTAAATCTTATCTGTTAATCTTAAATTTAAATCTCTGTTAAATATGAGTTTCGAGTATTCAATCTATCAGATATTTTAAAGTATTATCTTTAAAATTTCGGAAAACATAGTTTTTATCTATTAAAATTTTAATGTGAATAAAAATTCATGATTCCGACAAAAATGTTCGAAATTCCACGAAACAACTGAATCCTAAACATTTTCATTCATAAAGCATACGAAAATTCAGTCTAATATCCCAACTTTAACCCAACAGACTGTTTAAAATAAAATCCAAAAACTCTTTTTTCGTGGTTTCTTCCTGAGACTAAAAAATATGGAACATTATTCTCATCAATTCTTTCTTTAATACCGTAATTTGACAAATGATAGACAGAAAATAAGCGGTAGACGCATTTCATTTAACCAAACAATATATTAAAACAACAATTTATATTTCATTCAGAGCAGATTTATTCTCATTAGGGTCGGTAAAATGTGATTTAGCATTATTGTTTGATACAAACACTGGTAAAAGAGTATTTGTTTTAAATTCTTTCACTATGTATTTTCGTTTTCCAAGTTCTTGAGGGTAACTACACATGGGAAAAAGCTATGCAAGAATGTGTGCAACAATCAACGTCTGCCGACTATCTAAAAGCTGACATAGACTTAGATTCAACGTCTTCAAATATTTGCACTAATTATAGCATTTCACCTGGTGGATCTTTGTGGCTTGGAATTTGGTCTTTTTCATCTGAATTAGAATACCAGGATGATAACGGTTATTAAGTATACTTAATTTATCAATTTTTATAAATTTTGTCGTTTCTTTTTTTATCTGTCTTAAATCGTAGCTGCAGTTTTACACAGGTACAATACACAATACAAAATAATGATAGATCTGAATTGATTTTCAGATTTAACAAATCTTACAATGGATATGAAATGTCAAAGTTGTGTTGATGTTTGCATATTAGAAGATTGCAATGAATTAAGACTCGCATTTTGTGAGCCCGTAAGTCGTTTTTCATCCTGCTCTCTACGATTTAAATGTGCCAATGTACTTTTAAAATCTACATTAAACTATTTAAATTATATTAAACTAAGAAGCCTATACGAAGAATTATGATACAAAATATTTATTTTCTGAATATTCATTATAATTATTGTTTCGATAATTATTCCATTATAAATAAGCACCATTGCATTATTCCTATTATTGTAGGTATCAGAACTGGAGACAACTGGTAAACATGACCGTACCAGCCAATATAACACAGATTCAATGACAAGTGATCAAAAGATTTATTCATACATATCGACCATAGCCTACGAGAGAAGTAGCAGTATGTCCACTAATGCCTTCTATTCGTCTGTATCACATAAGGATAAATACGCTTCAAGATATACTCCAAGTACATGTAAGCTCTGTAATTTATTTCTTTATTACATTTTCAACAGTGAAATACTGTGATTTATTTATTGCATAAAAGTGATATTCTCTCACAGTGTGAAAGGATACCAAAGTGATATTCTCTAACAGTGTGAGAGGATATGAAAGTAAGTAAAAAATACTTTCTGGCCGGTCATAAGATGGAGATAGTAATTAAGTAAACCGCCTTGATAAAGACTAAAATTGCCAATTTCATCCCAAAAATGTTGCTAGAATCTATGTACAATGTTTTCAATCCCACAATTGCTAAGCTTTGACGTCTCAACCGCTCAACTATGACGTCACAGCCTATGACATTGTGTTAAGAAAAGACAAAAGCAATGGGAAAATCAAAGAAAATGTAATAAACAAAAAATTCAATGTTTTGTAGTTGGATATGTAATTTATTTCACTCGTGAGAAAGGATTTTTTGATATTTTCACTCGTGCTTCGCACTCGTGAAAATATAAAAAAAAATTCCAGTCCCACTTGTGAAATAAATTCCATATTCAACTACAAAACATTGAATATCCTCTATTTACTCAATACTTAAAGAGGCTTTAAGTTACGTGAAACGATGCTAGATCATGGATTGAATTAATCATATCGTCTTTTGGAAATCCCTATATAAGATTCACCTTCTAACAGAATAAAATAATTTGTATGTCCTTTCAAAATAGACGTATCGATGAAAATTACAACGCAAGGATTTTCCACGATCCAGGAAATATCAAACGGTAAAGAAAACATTTGCAGTAATTTGCTTTAGTACATGTAAATGATTATTCATTGACAATTTCTTTAATTTAAATAAGAAGGATCACTTAAAAATTATTTTCTGTACAATATTTCTGACAATTTTAATAATTTTACTTAACATAACATATCTATTACGTTTTACGTTTTTTTTTTTAAAGTCTATTCCTATTGATTACAAGACTGTAATTACAATGAATATATATTTTATCAGTATTGCAATCATCCTTTACATAATTTTAGGTTCAGACAATATAACACACACAGCCGTCGTTTACGGTGTTCCATTAGCATTGGCAATCATTATACTTGTCGTTTGTTTATTATACTGCAGGTGAGAGAAATGTTTTTCTTATGTGTGTACTTTATTTATGATTTTTTAAAATAATAAATTACACATTAGTATAATTTATATTGCTTTCGGACAAAAAACAGGAGAAAACATCATAAGAAAAGAAATTTGGATGCTGTATCACCAGCGGAATGCAAACAGTCATCGTCTCATGCTCAAGTCAAAATCACCTTATATGAGCTGGCGGACAATTCAAAATTAGAAAAGCCCACTTCTGACTCAGATACACCGGAAACAGAAAACCAACCAAACACTGGCGAAAGCGAAATGTATGAAAAAGTGAACAGTATAAATGTATCGGAAACAGAGGATGTATACAATCATCTCAGAGAGAGGAGTGATTCGACTGAACAGAGTGAAAACATTTATGATCGTTCAACCAAAACATACGATATAGAAAATCCCTTATATGACATTACAACAAATAGTGCACATCAAAAAGCCTCGCTAGATCCAAAATACGACCATGCTGTTTCGTTAGATAAGCTGAAAGAGTGAGAAACTTTCTACATTTTGATATGCTAAAGTGACTGTAAGGAAAGCTTTAGGCCGTGAAATGCATGAACTTTAATTCTTAGTCCGAAAATAACTTCATGTATAATGTACAGTATTATTTATTCTTCTTGGATTACATTTGACTTATGATTATTAAATTGTCATAAAGGATTGTTTCTGTACAATACATGTTTTTACTTGAGAATGATTGTATTTATTTTTTTCTCTTCCTTGTTTTGGCTTTGACTCAACTGAGTAAAAACAGAAAAAGAAATTACATTTTAGTTAATTATTTTAATCACCTTGATGTTATCTTTATCTATGATTTATCTTATGTGTTTGATATAAAATATTAGAATTTGAGCCGAAAAATATATAAAGTTTTGGAGGGAATTACACAGGAATACAAGTTATGCTGAGCTGTGTGGAACAATAAATTAAAACATATGCCGAATATCTTAAGTCTAACATTACTATTTTCAAATCTTTGCATCGACTATAGCATTTCTTCAAGTGGCAGTCCTATGTGGCTTGTAATTCCATCTATTTTACTGTTTATGATGCTGAATACATGGCTTATACAGAAAATTCAGCAAACTTTATATATTGAGAATGTACTTTTTTTTCATCTAAGGGATAATTGTACACTAGTTACAAAATAATATATAAAGATTTGAGATCATTTTAGATCTTATAAGAAAGGTGGGGATAAATAACATTAAACAGTCTCGTAAACCCTATTAACAATTTGAATCATAAACAAAGTAAAAACTGGAACCCCTGGAAACTCCACGGGTGGGTTCTAGTAGGAGTAAGCATCCCCTGTCAACTGGTCATCCCCGCTGTGAGCCCTTTGTATTAACCAGGAAAACAGAGTAACCAGGTAAACAGAGTAACCAAGTAAATAGAGTAAGCAGGTAAACAGAGTAACCAGGTATACAGAGTAACCAGGTAAACAGAGTAACCAAGTAAATACAGTAACCAAGTAAACAGAGTAACCAGGTAAACAGAGTAACCAAGTAAATAGAGTAACAAGGTAAACAGAGTAACCAAGAAATAGAGTAACCAAGTATACAGAGTAACCAAGTAAACAGAGTAACCAGGTAAACAGAGTAACCAGGTATACAGAGTAACCAAGTAAACAGAGTAACCAAGTAAATAGAGTAATCAGGTAAACAGAGAAACCAAGTAAATAGAGTAATCAGGTAAACAGAGAAACCAAGTAAACAGAGTAACCAGGTATACAGAGTAACCAAGTAAATAGAGTAATCAGGTAAACAGAGAAACCAAGTAAATAGAGTAACCAGGTAAACAGAGTAACCAAGTAAATAGAGTAATCAGGTAAACAGAGAAACCAAGTAAACAGAGTAACCAGGTAAACAGAGTAACCAAGTAAATGGAGTAATCAGGTAAACAGAGAAACCAAGTAAACAGAGTAACCAGGTAAACAGAGTAACCAAGTAAATAGAGTAATCAGGTATACAGAGTAACCAAGTAAATAGAGTAATCAGGTAAACAGAGAAACCAAGTAAATAGAGTAACCAGGTAAACAGAGTAACCAAGTAAATAGAGTAATCAGGTAAACAGAGAAACCAAGTAAACAGAGTAACCAGGTAAACAGAGTAACCAAGTAAATAGAGTAATCAGGTAAACAGAGAAACCAAGTAAACAGAGTAACCAGGTAAACAGAGTAACCAAGTAAATAGAGTAATCAGGTAAACAGAGAAACCAAGTAAACAGAGTAACCAGGTAAACAGAGTAACCAAGTAAAAAGAGTAATCAGGTAAACAGAGTAACCAAGTAAATAGAGTAACCAAGTATACAGAGTAACCAGGTAAACAGAGTAACCAGGTAAACAGAGTAACCAGGTATACAGAGTAACCAGGTATACAGAGTAACCAAGTAAATAGAGTAACCAAGTAAATAGAGTAACCAGGTAAACAGAGTAACCAAGTAAATAGAGTAACCAGGTAAACAGAGTAACCAAGTAAACAGAGTAACCAGGTAAACAGAGTAACCAAGTAAATAGAGTAACCAAGTAAATAGAGTAACCAGGTAAACAGAGTAACCAAGTAAATAGAGTAATCAGGTAAACAGAGTAATCTGTAGTCAGAATTAGCATAGAGATACTGGTTTATCACTCGGTATCAATTAAAACCAAACGATTGGTTGTATTTTATTTAACGTCCCTCTCGAGAATTTCTCAATCATATGGAGACCCCACCATTTGCCGTTGGAGGTCTGCAAATTTTGTCCTGTACTCGGCACTCAGTGCCATTGAGCAGTGAGGGATCTTTTTCGTGCCAGCACCTACTGCTACACAGAACCTCGGTTTATACGGTCTCATCCGAAGGACAGGTCTCCACGTCCCGTAGTGGATTCGAACCCGTAAGGATCAACTCCTTACACCGCAAATCTAGAGCAAACGCTCTAACCACTGCGCCACGCGGACGACGGTTGTATTTGAAAAGAAAGTCATTATAACGACCATAAAGGTTGCTAAATGCTGACTTTAAACGAGAATGTCGAAAACTCTGTAACGTCAACTTATTTGTTAGTAGCCTGTTTCGTTTTAGCGTTTTAAAAATTTATGGCGTACTCTGAACATTCTCTTGCGTACTAAATCAGTATCAAGACATTAACACCATATGCTGGTGATAATGGAACATTACTGCAAAAATAGAGGAAATTTACGATGGAAAAAGTGAAGTCGTGTGTCATGTAGTTTAGTTGTTAGTTCCCTCTAAACGTTAATTAGTCTGTTAAACATCTTTAAATTTAAATTAGATGTGGTAGAATTTGTAGTTCTTATTTCGATTCGATAAATATCGTTTATCGTCATCAATATACCTAAATGTCAAAATGAAGGTCACAGCAAGAGTTTTTTTCTTTGCATGTAGAAGTTTTTGAATATAAAATATCGGCTAATGGTGTACAATTTATGTCCATCGAAATTAATTCCAACCGATTGTTAGAATGCTTGGGGGTGGGGGTCTACTTTTGAATGTTGAAGATATGTCTTGGTTGCTAACTCGATTGATTTATAGAATTGAAATAGACATACAGCGGAAATCGGTTCATAATGATTAAAGTGGTTGAATAAAATATTTTAATTACAATTTATTTACTTTCACATACAGCTGTGATTTCAGAGAGACTGAACGATATCTTGAAGAAGACATTATTCACAAACCTTAGCAGGGGATTCCGGTTCAGCACTAGTATCATCTGCATTGGTTTTGAAGGCATTAGGTGCTTATTTGGAATGGTTCATTGACCAATGTGTAGTTCCAGCTAACAGTTTTGCCACTTTCATTTAATTCCAACATAAAGGTTGTTTGCATGTACCTGATTGTTTGTATGCAAGATATATACAACAATTGTAATATGGTTTCAGTTTTAATAAATTTTTGTGTCAGGTGAAAAAAAAATTGTTCAGATTTTTACGAGAGCCAAACAAGGTTAAAAAAATTTAATTCGTTATAACGAGTTTAAAAAAAAAAAAAAAAAAAAACACAACTCGTTATAATGTGTTAGTATATCTCTCTATAACGAGATAATGATCTCATTGAAACAAGTAAATTATCTCGTTTTAATGAGTAGTTATCTCGTTTTAACGAGAAGTTGTCTCGTTTGAATGAGTAGTTATCTCGTTACAAAGAATTAGTACTTTGTTATTTTGGTGAAAGTTATCTCGTAAATTTCAATACTAGAATATTCAATCATTTTCTGTTTTCAACTGGAAAGATGTATACCACACACTTCACACTTCAATATAGCCTCTAGACTGAAACTAGATTGACCAGGAAGGATAACTCTTGTATGCTATAAAGTTTAGGTTTAGCGGAGGTATACTCTCCTAAATGCCCTCTTGTTATACTCCTACAAACGAAGTCTGTCTGTTTTTCCGGAGATTATGTCAAACTTTCTAATTTTCTTCAAGCTTTGAAGAAATAATACACACCATTTGGACAAATACTCGTGGTATTTTCATATCAATTTGTAAAAATACGCATAATTTTTTTATGCCAGGATATAGAAGAGTATAATTCTTGTCTGAATATTACTTTGAAAACTGAAAAACTTTATAGGATTATATTTGATTCTTGACCCCACAAAAAGTCATTTTGGACAAAGTCACAGTTTACAAATGTCCCAACCACAAAATATTCGATATGGCGTGTAAAACGCTGCATTATTATACATTTTTGTTATTCCTACTCAAAAAAATTTGTTATTCTTATTCTAAATCACGTCATTCCTATTCGATAAAATTGATTCCTATTCGATAATTTGTTATTCTTATGCGAAAAAAATGTTATTCTGATTCGATAATTTATCATTCCTATTTGTTATGTTGTTTTTCCTATTCTAAAACGTGATCCCTATTCGATAATTTGTTATTCCTATTCGAAAACATGCGATTCTTATTTGATAATTTTGTCATTCCTATTTGATAAATTTGTCATTCTCATTTGAATAGGGATGACAAAATTATCAAATAGGAATAACATGCTTTCGAACATGAATGACATGTTATCGAATAGGAAACACATCTTTTCAAATATAAATGATAAACATGTATTCTGGAATAGGAATCATATTCCTTCCAATAGGAATAACAGTTTATCGAATAGAAATGAAAATAATCGAATAGGAATCACATTTTTTCACATAGGAATAACAACTTATCAAATAGGAATCACATTTTATCGAATAGGAATGATATGTTTTAGAATAAGAATAATAAATTCTTTGAATAAGAATAACCAAAAAAATATAATAATGCAACGCTTCACACGCTATAATTCGAAACAGGTACACGGAGTAATGCGTAGTCAAAATTAGTATAAAAACAATGACCTCACAATTAATTGATATAATACATGTGAGTCTAAATACGACCCAACGATTGTTTGTATTTTTTAAACAAGGTTCAATATAACTATCATGATAGCATTTACAAAATGCTGACTTGAAACCAGATTGTAGAAAGCCTGTAACATCAATTTATTTGTCGGTAGCATACCTAGGTTTTAAAATTTATCTTAATCAGAACATGTTCTTTTGTTTCTTAAAAAAGTCATTTTAAAGACATAACCACCACATGCAGAAGATACTGGAATATCACTACATAAATAGGAAGTTGGCGATGAAAAAACTTAAAGGCCGAGGTTTTCAACCGGTCGGTTTTCCT